ATATATATATATATATATATATATATATATATATATATATATATATATATATATATATATATATATATATATATATATATATATTAAACTAAATATATTAAACTAAGTATATTAAACTAAAGTCATGTATATGTATATGTATATGTATATGTATATGTATATGTATTGTCGCGCACAATCATGTGTAAAAATTTTCTTTCATTAATAACTAAACATCTACATGGACATTTGCAAAATGAAAGGGCTGTTCAATTTGATCTAATGTACAAGTATATAATAGTATACATTGCCACTACTGCTTATCCATATCGCGCGTGATTATTCATTAATCTTCTTTAATTAATTAGTATCTCAACTATTATTGCGAATATCGTAAAACAGTATAAGATTTTTATGTTCATCTCAATCCGTTCTACGTTCTCACAAAAATTGTGGAGGAGAGTCTGGAACACCCTGTACATGTGTGTACGTATATATGTGTCCTGGCTGCGGAAAGACATCGCCGAAAGGCGACGAATAAAATCACTGGGCCGCGTGATCCGTTTAGGAGGAAATGGCACTCTGGGACGGACTTTCCTCCATCGAATTATATCGCCGATCGTATTATCGGAGTGCCGGGCACAGAAGTGGACAGGGACTAACTAGGAGAAGAAGAAATCGCTTTGACGAGCGGGAGTGCCGGTAAAAGAGCTAATTCAAGGCAGGACGAGAGAGAGAGAGAGAGAGAGGAAGAGAGAGAGCTTTGGAGCGTAAAAAGATATCGCGGCGGCGACGGCGGTCTCAGACATCTCGGGCGCGCGATCGAGATACGGTATTTTCCCGCGGGCCGGGGGTGCGCCGGTAAATACGGAACACTTCAATACGGCAGGAGTGGAGGCAAATTTTCGCCGCCGGGGCTAATGTTATTACTCGCGGCCGTTGGCTACGAGTAAGGACATACGGGCGAATTCTCGCCGTATCGCCGCTTCGTCGATAAAACGAAGTGAAAGAGCAGTCGACAGCGGCGGCAGCAAACGCGTCAGGCCGCGGGTGAAAACTAAGTTCTATCGTTGGTTTAATAGAGAAAACATAGAAGTTCGCGTTGGAAAAAGAAAGGGAATGGAGAAAAAGAGTTACACGCTCGAAAGTTCCGTCCGAAAAGGGCCCTCGTACTTGTTTTTCTTTCTCTCTCTCTCTCTCTCTCTCTCTCTCTCTCTCTCTCTCTCTTCTTTTCCCCTCTTTTTCTTTCACTTCCCAAGTCAATCGCTGGAACGGCAGAAGATTCTTTTAACACCCGGCGTTAACTCCTGCTGATTGCAGAGCAGCTCGTGATTAAGAGACGTAACGAGGCGCCATTGTTCGGCGTTGATCGCCGAATTAGATCGTGTCGCCGATATTTAAAATCACTTCCGCCCTCCGTCGGTTATCGGGGAACGCCTTGTTTCGTCGCCGCGGTCAATTACGATAATGAAATCGGTACACGCCACGACAGGTGAAGTTAGTTCGCGACGGCTTACTGGGGCAAAGTCGTTGAAAAGACCTAATCGGTCGGTGCGGTCTCCCTTGCGGAGACCAACCGGGGCGAAGTTGCAAGTTGCCAGGAGATTCGCCGGCGAGCGATAATACCCGGCGGCCAAAGAAAGCCTTGTGTAGCGAGATATTATGCAAGCGTGGTCTGTCGCCTCGGATATATGCGAGCGGGAAAGGACAGGGGGAACATACTGTGCTCGTAGATTCGCGCGATTTCTTGCGACAAGTGATTAGTGAACGCGGCGAGACCGCCGCATGACGAGATTCCCCTGTAGAAAATTTCTTGGGATCTAGATGAGACCCAACCTAATTTCTCAAAATAATTATGGCCTCTGGATAGAAATGCAAAGCCGCAAACATGTGATTTCACTCAAAAAAGTGTCTTGCTGGTCAAGGTAGAATTCTAAATATCATAGTGAAAATTTGTCGCTATTTCTTGTATCTGCTAGAAAATTATATGTAGTACGTAGGATTTACAGCATTTTAACAATGCAGGCAAATTTAGATAGGTGTGAGAATTATAATTTCGTTTGTCGTTGGTCGTTTGGTTTTTCTTGTTTACTACAGTCAATTTTTGTAAGAAGTGTGATTGGTTTTAACTTGTTTGGGCCAGAAGACTTTCTTGTGCTAAATTTCACAAATAGTTTAGATGGAAATGCTGTCTCTTCTGTCATCTATATCAAGAATGATTGCAAGATTATCAATATTTCTTTTGGTGTTTATTTTACGTCAGGCAAGAAAAATGCTTAACATTTGTAGCTATAATCGCATAAAGAAATAATTACTATAAATTATAGTCAAGAAAACTATTTTTTAAGCTCTACTATAATAATCTTATATACATACTACTACTTGCCATTTTCATATTAGAACAATAAAAAATGTGGTTAAGGTAAAAATATCTATAATT